TATACACATCTGTGCTGTTGCCCGCCTCAGCAAGCCTGCGCGGGGAACCACAGAAAACAGATCCCCCCTATCCCCCGCCGGCTTTCAGGCAGTGCTTTTTTCTCCCGCGGCACTACCGAGCTCGGTGGATAAACACCGATTTTTCTAGCGGGGAAGAAAGTTTTGCCAAGCCTCCGTAATCTAATTAATGCTGAGCGAAGGACTCGTTATGGACTAACGTATAAGTCGCTGGGAAGGGAAACGCCTTCAGTTATCACTCAGAGACACATCTCGACCCTTTCTTCTCAGTGTGTTGCATGTCAAACCACTGGGGCAGCAAAGTGCAAGACGCTCGATGGAGCCCCTTGGCAACTCTGACATTGCTGTATGATGGCGGGACAGCTCTGCCCCCAGCGCACCATCCATCTCCTCCAGCCAACACACAAATTCAGATCCAGTAAGGTACTCTATCACAACTGATCAAGAACGCTGTTCTTGATGATGTGGAAATCAAGTACACTCTAAAGCGGTTTTGAGGGAGAAGGCCATGTAAAATCTTGTAACTTCATCTGTTGCTGCCCAAATCCTGACTTTCCCTTCATCCTTCAGATTGTATCCCCAGGATTAGTCCAGATAATTTAGGGTTACTTACCTTTCTGCAAAACTGACTACATCTATTCATACTACTTTAGCGAGTCAGACCAGTATTCCTGCGCAAAACTTTTTATTAAAAAGAGAAAGGGTTCTCTGCAACAAAAGATAGGTACAACACGAATCATAAAATTTAACTTTTCAAAGATGGCAACAGACCAGATGTGAAATTTTGATTGTGATAGAATATGTCTCAAGTTTAGAAAGTCTTACTCTCACACCTGAAAACATAGTCAACACATCTGTCAATTAGGATCTCTTAACTATAAAAAACTTTTGAGTTACCAGCACATTCTCAAGGTCAAGTTTTAACATGCAGCATCCACAATGAAGCTGTAAATAATCCAAAATAGTGTCACTAAAATGCTAAGATTCCTATAGAACCTTTCACATTTCACAGCTTTAGCAGTCTTCCAATTCTTATGAACTAATATAAAAAGTTATGTTCCCCTAAATATAAGAAAACTCAGCTTAAAAAACCCCACCTCTCTCAGGTGACAAAAAGAATTTCAAAGAAACCTATAGTTTGGCCTCAGAATTAATATTTTTAAAATATCTTTATGGGGGGGGAAAAAAAAAGGTATCAGGTATATTTACCTTTTCTTCACTTTGTATGCACATGTATATTATGGACATCAAGTTACAGCAAATATCTTGCCCTGGTGACTATATTCCAGCTTACCAAAACCAAACAGGCACCACATCAGCTTGCTCAGTTACCCATCCTGGAGCATCAATAACGCTGACAGCTGTCACACACTGAGGTAGCTGACATTTCTTCTGCAGTACCAGGACCAAGCTGTAGGTCTCTTGCCCACACGCCGATAACAGAATAATGAGTATCATTAAGAATGAACCTGACATTTCCCAGTAGTTCAAGGTGATCGGTACTTCAAAGGGATACTGGAGTCCTTTCATGCAAAAAGATGTCTATTCACGTAAATAGCCTCTGCATCAGTACCATATACTAAGCACGGTCCTAAAATATCTAGACTATTCACAGACAAAGTCTGATTTGGAATTAAGTTGGTGATTTCCATGCGGTCTTTGGTAGGATCATTGCTTAGCCAGGCACTTACTACAGACTGGTTAATGGCACTGTGGGAAAAATAGGTAGTACTTCTTCCTCCTGAAAGAAGGAAAGGGAAAAAGAGGAAAATAAGCTCCAGTTTAGTTTAACTATTCTCAGAATTTGGAGAAACATAGTAGGTATAGGACAGACATAATGGGAATATAATTTTACATTTAAGTCAGTTTTCAGATTAGTTAACAGATGCTGTCATCTCCTTGGTAAACTGAGAAAAAATAGCTTAAAAATAATAAATACTTGAAGTGATTACAGAAACTGCTATCAGCTCTGTCCTCAGTTAAGATAAATAGGTCAGAACATCTATGAACTCATCTCCCTCAACAATATTAAGTAGCTACAAGCTTTTCTGGCCAGAGACTAAAGCAAGGACAGACCTAAGAACAAAAGCCTGTTTACACAGTGTCTTTCTATTTTTGGGGCATCAGCTTTGCTTTAATAACTTTTCCCTTAATAACACTCCCTAGTGTCCCTTCTCCCTACTTATATTGCAGCGATACTCCTGGATTTGACTTAGCATTTTTTCCATGTAACATTTTACGTTCAAACTGAAGTCTGACAGTTTGAGAACTGTCATTCAGCATAAAATTAACTGGCTGAAGTGGTGCTAAAGGCTTATACCTGAAAACACACAGTGAGTAACTTGAATCAGTTATCCTATTGTTTCTCTATATAGAGCTGAGATGTGAATGCCAATTTTGAGGCCAAAGGCAGCAGATGACATCTGAAAGTTTCCCCACTGTTTACAGTCTGAAGTAGCAGTCTTTGTGAGTAGAATGTGAAAATAAATGTTTATATTAAGTCAGTATCACATCTTTAATTAAAATCCTGCCACAATACAAAGGGATCCAGTTTCATTCATTTTAAGTTGACTTTGATTAGTAAATTCATAATTCAACTATCCTATTAACTTGTTCTTTTGGTATTATAACATTTTGTGTATTTCACTCAGAGACTCAAATAATGTGTTATTTAGCCTCCCTTCATGTCTTTTTTATATACAGATGATTTTTAAATGAACATGATCTATCTTTGAATACTAGATGTGCCTACTGACACACTGGACAGACTACAGCAGATTAAAACCCCCTAGACCACAAAAAGCTCACACAACTGTTAGCCTTATTTTTCCTGAAATGCCTACAAGGGCTGTCTTTCAAAGACTAGAAATCAGCTTTTCATTTTCTCTATTAGGATTGTTATTAATTGGGTCATGTGAGAACATAGACTTAATTACGTTGCCAACTGACAAATTCAGTGCAGATTGACTTCAAACATCCTTACCTTGATGAAGAAATGATGGTTTTTCAGCTACATCTGTGGAAGTATCCCAGTGCCAAAGAGATCCATCTTCAGAACACGTAAATAAGTGATCGGGGTTGGAGGGATGGAAGTGAACCTCCCACACTAGAAGTATCAAACCAAAACTAAACCAAACCACTTCATAACAAGTATCAAGTACTTTGCTCAGTTCACTTTGGCTAGTACCACATGGATATGCACTTACAAGAACCCAGGCTCCCACCAAAACTTCTACTCTCAAGTGTGTGTGGGTAGGAGATGCAAAACCCTACCCTTAGGTGTTTACTGTTTTCCCTCCCCTGGGAGAGTAAAAGAAAAAAAAATAGAGAGACTATTTTGTTGTATTTTCAATACTGTGAAAATTGTTAAAGGTTAAAATCTTAGCTGAATTCAGGCCTTCTGAATGCTTTCTCGTGCCATCTTCCCTACTCTTAAGTCTTAATCTGTACACAGCGTGCATTCCTTCCCAGCACACCCATTATTATTTTGTGTATAAATACCACAACTGTGGAAGAGGTATTTAAGTCAGTAAAACTTAACATCTCAAGAAATATTTTTACTCCTTAAATATAATTGTGACATCAAGCCAAGAAATTTTCAGCACAAAATTAATTCCTATCTTATTCATATGAAGTTACCAGGAAAGTACGCTGTTTCAGCATTGTGGAGGCACCAATGGATCTGTACTATCCTATCCTCAGTTTCCCCTCCTTCCTCACTTTTTCAAATTTGCTAGTAACTACACTCTTGCTTTCCTATACCTGCATACCATAGCATCAGTTTCTATGACTTAATATATCTACCCTTCTAGAAACACAACCATTCTGATTAAATGCATCTAAGGACTCATTAAAGAACTGCTTACTAATTCTAGTTTTTGTTTAGATAAAGCTAGCTTTTAGGTAAGAACAGTCTCATATACAGAGAAGGAACAAACTGAAGGCAGTTAGATGAAGACACATTAAGTAGCAACTATGTGATTGTTTTCTATCATAGCTACAACACATAATTTTTTTACAGAAATTAGAAAGTTTTCAAAAATGCCACCTTCCCCCCCCCCCCATTTCAGATACTTACTTTCTGCTTCATGAGCATTTAGCAGGGATACTGGCATAGTACCTTGCCTGATATCCCATACACTCAGCATTCCATCCTGGCCCCCTGTGGCCACAACGTGCTGCTGATTGGGATGCCTGTCCACACAGTGCAGCGGAACTCTGTCACCTGTCCTGCAAAGGAGACGAATAAAACGAACAAACAAACATGAATTCTTTGTTCAGCTTCTGTTTCTCCTTCTCAATCCCTTGGAGCGTTGACAAACAAAGTAATGGTACCGACCACAGCTTCAATTCCCGCAGCAACTGGGCACTACAGGCTTAAGCTGCATGACACCTACAGGAAATCAGAGGTATGGCAGTAACATGAACCTAGAATGGGATGAGCATCAGGTATCTCTACACGGTATTCGACAGCTTTACAGGAGTGAAAAAACCTTGCATGCAGATAATACTCTACGCACACCTACAATTATAAGCAGGTTATTCTGCAATTCACGTTATAACCGCAGTTTCAACATATACCAAGAGTTACAATGGAAACTGGGCACTAACAAAACCAGGTATCTCAACCACAGCCTGTAACAGCAACGGGAATTCAAACATGATTTGAATCTAGCTCAGTTCATTTTCTCACAATACCTTGTAAGGCACAATGTTATCATTCTAAAACATTTCAAATGGTGGAAACTTTATATTAGGCCTGTGGAAAAAAACAGAGGTACCGTATATTTAATTAGGGAAAGAGTTTGGGGTTGAGGGTTGTTTATTTTTTCTTAAAAAAAGAGCAAGTATACAGGTGCAGCAGTCCTTCAAGAGTTAAATCATGAAACAGACCACCTAAATACAATTCTCAGCCACACAGTAATTCAGCCTTTTAAGGAGAGTCTGCTTGATTGTTTAAATACTAAATAAGTTAAAAACCTTTAAAGAAAAAAATCACCATCCCATCGTCAAGAAGGTATCAGGAAAGATTTACATCAGATTATATAAAGCAGCACACGCTTCTTGGTAAATACGTAAAAAAATGAAGGTCTTACAAAGAAAATACTTGAGACGGCTCGTTTCTCTGCTGTCTGAGGTCCCATATTTTTAACTGTCCAATTGAATTTACTGTCAAGATCTCAGTTGTGCGAAGGAAGGTCACTGCATGGAGTGTACTGCTGTCTGCATTGTCTGCAAGAGAGATGAGGAAGGCATTCAGGTAAACCTACAGAATGCTAGTCTCCATTTATGACAAATTAACTCTTCTTAGAAAACGGAACACAGCTGCTTAAACATGGTTATAACCTCTGCATTTTCAGGAGCAGAGACAGATGAGTGTTGTGAAATTTTAAGTGCTGCAAGGGTACCCTGTGAAAGGAGCTCTTCCTTCCTGTATCAAATACTACTGAGACAAATCTGTGAGAAGCTCTATTTAATTAGCTCCAGTGCTTACAGAACTACTTGTTGATCCATAAGATTTCTTTCTACAGTTCCTAAGAAAATAATTTAGCGAGGTCCATGGTTTTTATAAGAGTTTTCTTTATATGCTCCGCGTCTACCGACAGGAGGCAAAACTATGGAGCTTTTCATAATGCAGTTTTTCTTTTGAACTCAAGAAGCAGTAACTCTAGCTGAGAACATTAAGCAGTTTTATACCGAAGCACTTAATTCACCTTTCTTTAGGCCTTTTCCAAGAACTGTCAATGTGATTTGCATCCCTGTCCCTAAAGCCAAACCAGAATTATGCTTTTCTTGTTACTCTTAATAACTAAGTGGCAAAGCTCTTTTTTCGGGTGCTTTTCTCCAGTGGTTCGTTTGGTCGGAATAATTTACCATGTCACATTTCACAGCATTGAGGTGAAATTTTTGAGGCTTTAGGAGAGAATAACACAGACACCATAATCTTATATTTTCATTCTCTTATTATATATAAACTTTTCATCTTCGTTATGATGGGGTAACATTAAGTTTACTTTTACCTCAAGTGTTTTAAAATTCTTTGGGTAAGTCCATACTGAAAATACAGGTGAATTTTTTGCCGTGTAAGATGCAAAACTTTCCTGATATTGAGACAGAGAAATTACATTGATACCTGTTTACAGATATTTGAATGAGTTTTCTTTTCTGCCTACTATTTAAATGAAAGCCGAGGGAGACAAAAAAACCCCCAACAACAACCTGAAATACCTTTAAAAAGAAATGTTAAGATGCTGAACACTGAACTTCTACAGGATTTAACATTTTGTGACAAAATTACAGTAAAGTGATTTAGCAATGATATGTCTTTACAGCCCCAAAAGATTTTTACATGATCTTAACTCTGAAGATTTTTTTCCCAGCACAATCTACTAAAAAGATACCAACTTTGTATTATACTCTTAAATCCATTAAACAGTAACAAAACCAGCAAGGTACTCCTGTACAAGTACTGAATGAGGTAGAGAGTTCTATCTGCATGTTAAAACATGTTGAGGGTTCAGCTGAGTGCCCAGGGAATGTCAAGATGTCACTGAATTGGGAACCAGTACAAAGGATCAGTTACACTATAGATCTCCATCTTGAAGAACTTGAGAGCATCTGTCAAGATGTTCTCTCCCCCCTCTCCAACTTTCACCGTAAAACAAACTCCAGTTAATAAGCTTGTGCTAGTCCCTTCCACATAACTCCAGCTAAGCTTCACTTACCAGGTGATTGGTACGACTGACATATTTATGGACCATTCTTATTTTAACATTACCTTTCCCATTGCCAGAAGGACATTTCTCAATTAATTCACGTGTGATTTCTTAAATGTATATGCACCAGCAAATCTCAATGCCAAGTCACACCGCAGCATAACACTGGCTGATGCTATGCCTACAAAGCAAGCATTTTTACACAGTACTATCAAGTGAGCACTAAGAAAACTAACAAATTGCATCTTGCACATTATTAAATCTGTGTGTAGGCATCTGAGCAATTGCCCATAGGAAAAATACAGGATTTTTGTGGACATCTGCTTCCTTTGAGTCAGCAAAACATTCTACTCTATTTAACTTGTACCAGAACACTGTGTTAACATTTGTAAAAAAGTCAAAATTTAAAAATAAAACAATCCTGTAAAATTCAATGTTCCCACTCCTCAAAGGGGAAGCTACTGTGTTTTATGTACATGTGCTAATAAAATCTGCCTCATGCCCTGCTACTTTTTTTTCTTTAAAGACTAGAAACATTTCCTACAGGAATTCTCTAGGAACCTGTGAAAGATTGTATGCAATTAATAGGATTTATCTTGTGTGTGTATATACAGCCATGCACACACAAGTACCCCCTCTAGAAATCTCAGAGCACTTCCTTCCTTAATTGGCTTATATTGTGTAAATTCCTTCATCCGTTAAGAGGCAAGATCTTGCTTGCTGAGAAAGAAAGACAGGTGCTGTGTCAAACTGAAGTATCAGGGAGAAAGTCCTGGTTTAATAATGCCACTATCAAACATGGTGTCACTGTCCTTTAAGTTATTTCTGCTTCTAAATTTAATTTCCAACAGATGCTACAAACTTGGATTCTATTTTCATGAGGCTAGCATGATAAAAGAGTTGAGAATAACCAAGTTTTGACACCTTTCACAAACATCTCAGTCTATCACATGATCTATTACTCTAGGAAATACGGAGCTTTTTGACTAAGGCAGAAATGATTGCTGTAAGCCATATCTGGCAGAAGAACGGAGTACAAACAGTGGTTCCTGGTTCTTGGTGTTCCTTTAGACACAGAGAAACAGATGGTTTCGAATATGGACACTATGAAGACTAATCTTAGCACAAATAGGGGATTGAAATGACCGTTTCACTGACCTCCAGTTATGAAGAACTTGGGACACAATGCTTGAAATCTAACCCTATTTCATGTATACTGACATAGCTTTTAACAATGCTAGGTGAGACAGAAACCTACAGAGAATGTTAGGCTTGAAACTTCTCCATCAGTTAAAACATTAACCTGCAAATACCTGAATGAATATAGAAGTACGTCTGAAATGCACTTCAAGTATCTGAAGTCTGGAGGAATACAGGAATAATCTGGAGCAAACACATTCAACTTAGAATATTTAATTCAATTCTCAACTGACTTCCTTTTTTTTTTTTTCTTTTTTATCATTTGAGAAGCTAAAAACCAAACAAACCACTCCAAACTAAAATAATCTGAATTTATTTGACATACCTATAGTTCTTACTGCATCCTTTTGGTCAGCTCTGAAGAGATTTATTCTACCATCTTCTCCCACAGTGACAATTTCTGGGTTGTTGCAGATGACTCCAGTACATGCTGCTCCACCACAAGATGTGTCTTGATCCACATGATAATGGGCTTTCTCCCAACACTGGTTGGCAGATAAAGTCTAAGTAGTAATCAGATACAAAATTCTGATGTTAATGATCCTGACAGACCAAAGCTTCCAGAATACTCATGAAACCAGAAACAAGCTCCAGGAAAGCCACACTACCTCACAGGAATGAGAATCTCCTGTACAAATAAGAATCAGAGATCTAAATTTTCCTCAACTCTTCAGCAGACAACCCTCTGATGAAACATTGACTATTTCTTCTCTGAACTGCCTTTTTCACATGAGCTAGAAATCAGAAAGAACACAATCTGTTTATGAACTGTGAAATGTCTTTCACTATGCTTATCCCTTCAGTTTTTCCCCAGGCCAAGGAAAAAGAGCCTTTACAAAATATAAGGTCAGATTTAGATTTTGATTGCAAGGAATTTAGTTTATTTTAAATACCACATCAAACTATTAACAGATGTTAGTCTTTATTGTGTCGTTGTGAATGTATTAAAAAGTCATTATGCCTTTATTTCCAGTGTTTTATCACCAAAGCAAAAGACTACAGAGTTCACAAATCTTCCCTCACACGACACTTGTAAGAAATACAACACGAGCCATTTAGTTCAAGAAAGCAAAAACTCAAATAATGCAGGCATTAATGGACATTAATACCCACTCTCCCCAAACAATCTAAACTCCTGAAGTATGTTTTCAGTGAATGGACTCTTTGATTACAGATATATTCTAACAGATACCCAGTCTATCTGGCT